GAATTGTGTTAATGCACTTTCTTTTTATAATCAAATTCAACATCTTCCTCCTGCTGCAACACAGAAGACCAACACGTGTCCGAGCTCTGGAATTACTGCACTCATGACCAAGACAGCAACGATCATTAGAGGAGACTTTTATTCAAATTATATTAATACAGACTAGTGAACACACATTGAAAACGTCCCTTTGTAAAATGTAAGGAAAAAAAAAAACTAAAATAAATACAAAACAAATGTTACAACACCTACAGATATTATTGACAGAAGCTTTTGTTGAACTGCCAAACAAAACGTTTTATTAATACTTACACTGTCAGCACTTTTTTATTGTGTAGAAATGTGCAAACTTGTTTTGATGTTCTCATTTGTTCAAGGTAAAATCAAATTTCATTGCGATTTTTTTTTATTTCCACCAGAAAATACTCGTAAAAAAACCGGCAATGGCAGCTGTCCGCACGCAGAGGGGCGCGTTGAAGAGCACAGCTCGAGGGAGACGAGGCTCGTTTCTGCGCGGACTGGTGTCCTCACGCGCAGCGACGGGAGCTGCTCTGTCCCGACGCAGGCCTCGCTGTGCTGCGGACTACACCACACAAAGACCTACAACGTCTGGGACAAGAAGAGGTCCCTTTCCAAACGGAAAAAGTACAAAATCTGTGACATCAAAAATAAGCCCGTTAATTGCCTGGTAAAAATCTGTTAAAATGGCTTTGTACTCCTTGCACCGTAACCGGAAATTGTCTGCAAAAGATTTCGCTTGAATCTTTTATGTTTGGTAGCACCATGATCTGCACCAACTTTCAGACTTATTTCCAGCCCAGCTCAGCAGAGGGGCTGCTCACTGCTCAAGCGGCGGCTCTGCGAAGGCACTGAGTTTGTATGAGAAATGGAGCAAGACGTCCTCCACTGTTAATCAGCAGCTGTTTTCACCAGTTTAGCGTTTAAAAAGATATAAAACGAGTGAGAAATCGGTGTCACTCTCACAGCTGTGCAGCAACCCCTGTCCCCATCGCAGTGCAGGGACCACTGGGGACAAAACTCAAGGAGTCAGTTTCCTCTTTCTTTCACTTCGTCTGCTTTCCGGGGGGGGATCACGCACGAGCCAGCTGAAATCATCCAGCTCAGCTCAGGCACCGGCGTTAATTTTCTGCATGTTAGTCATTTCACTGCATGATTACACATCTTGTCTGCAAGAGTAGGTCGGTCACAGTACAGTTAGCATGCAGCGGGGAGTTTGTGTCCCAGAGAGATCTCTGCTGTGCTGTGTGCTGCACCTAGCTCAGCCTGCTCTTGTATAGTCAGAGGTAAGAAAGCGCAGGGTTCCGGTACTACTTTGAGGTAAGACTTTCTGTCATCCCCCATCACTTCAATACCAGCGGCTTTGCTTTCCCACATAAACACAATGAAAACCACACTTTGATATCGGATAATGAATCGGAAGGAGTGGGTGTAGCACACGATGACCGCTCCTGTGTGTTTTCCCCCCCCGTTTAAGAGAAAGACCTAATTCGTCAGCGTTCTGTATCACACACGGCGAGCAACACTGAAGGAGAGGGCAGACTGCGATCACTGGCAGAAGAGCTGTACCAGTGGTTTATGGTCACGATGTTCAGAGGCCTTTACTGTTTCAATTAAAACAACCATGGTGGCACTGACATGAGAACACCAGAATGTGTGCACACTGCTATTAAACACTTTGATTACCAGGGAAACAGAAACACAAGTGAAGCCATTAAACTCATTTGTAACAGTCGGCACAAATTCAGAGCCTGATTTAAAAAAAAATGGTTTACCACCAGAGACTGAAAGTATATATACACACATTTCCAGAACAAATGTCTTTTTTTGACAGGGGTAGGAAAATGACAGTAGCAATCGGGCACTTTTCACGACGCATGCAGATCACAAACCAACAGACAACACTCTTCACAGCTTGCTTGAGCTCATGACAAGCGATCACCAGGAGAGTCCGCTAGACCTCCGTTCGTCCTAAAAAGGACAGTATTTACACAGCAGCCTTCAGCCTGGCTGGGGAAAGGGGCTCTTTCCCAGCCCAAGGGAAGGAGGAGAAACCAGAAAGGAGAAATGGTTATCCAGGAGAGCCTCAGAGCCCGCCACGGCGGGGTCGCGGCAGAGCTCCTTGGACAAGCCAGGGGGCGCCAGGGAGCAGCACCGAGAGAGGGGCGACCGCAGCCCTCCAGAGTTTTTAAAATTCTGCCGTTGCTCGCGCGCATCACAGAACAGCGCCCTCTGAACTCACGGTCGGGGGGGGACGATTCCGGCGCACGGCTCAGGGCCAGGGAGGAGGGAGGTGTGGCCGCCTGTGTCCTCAGCTGGAGCGCAGACTGGAAAGGGCTACTAGCCCTTATTTTTATTTATTTTTTTCTCAGTCAAGAACGTCAGAAGGTTGACTTGGGTGTTAGATATCTCCCCATGATGTTCTGAACTTCCTTAAAAAGATTAAAACACATAAAACTGACCGCAGCCGCGCTCGTTAAGGGTCTCGCCAACACGAGAGAGAGTTTTTTAACAGACACGTGTCAGCGGGTGTCCGCTAGCGCTCGGAGCAGGAGAGCGCGCTCGGGAGCCGCGGGCGTGGATTTGCACCGCTCGGCTGGCACAGAGGGGCTGCCCTGGGCCCCACAGGAGGAGGGAGACCAGGGCCACAGCCTGGCAGCCTGGCACCCCTGAGCGGCTGAGAGCTGGGTTAGGGAGCCGCCAGGGAAATGGAGCTCTCCCTGAACGCTCCATATGCAGCATATGTCCCGGGTTGAGCCTGCCTGAGTCGAGCTCGCCCGAGGAAAGAGCAGCACCGTTTTCAGACCCACAGGACAGCATGATGACCGCTGAAAGCCCGCTGGGGAGAGGGGGGGTCAGTCCACTACCCTCACAGCGGTCTGGCAGGACAAGGGCAGAGACATCTCCTTGCAGCTCAAAGTGCAGTACAATTTAAAATGACATCTCCATTAAAAAAGCGTACAAAACCTTTTAAGCTTCATTAAAACTGGGGGTGGGGTGGCACACAGAAAAATAAATCGAGACCTTCACTGTTCATGCCGACCGCGAGCTGAAAAGACAGGGACAGCTCTCTTCTCAAGCAGCTCCCTGCTGCCCTTGAAGAACAGAGTCAACACACAACTTGACAAACCATGCAAAGCAGTTCAGTGCATTTTAACAGCCTAATAAAGATCTAAACGAGGTTATGACAATCAAACTAAAAGTTTATGGCAAAAAACAATTACTTTAAATGGTCTTTACAATCTGCTGCCATTTATTACAGTTTAAACCCTCCTCATTTGAAACACTGGGATCAAAACGTAGCTTTCCACACGAAGAAGCTGCAGCGGTTGTTACTGAGAATAAGGAGCAGTAACGCTCACGCAATAGGAAGAATGGTTTTTAACGATCGTGCTGCCACGACGCTGAATGTTCTACAACAGGGCTCGGCGCTCCTGGTTCTGGAGAGGAACGAGTACTCATCGACCCGAAGTGATGGGGAACCCGGAAGAGCCACTGTCTCTGCAGGCAGGGCAGCACTGCTGAACACGGCCGGGAGCAGCCTGAGGGGTTCTGAAATCTCCCACAAATGGGCGCAGCATCCAGAAAGACAGGAGTCCACCCTGTCCCCACTGGGGACCGCACAGGGCCCGCACTGTCCCACCGCAGCAAGCCAGAAAGTACTTGTATAACGTCAACGGTAACGGTGCTACGCCTTGTAAAGTTTTCCTGGGATCTCCACCCGCAAGACACGATTCTAAAGCAAAAGGCAGAGGATCACGACCTGCGTCCAGTCGAGAGACTGGCGTGGCAACACCTGCCGTTTGTCTCACTGCTGTTGGTCTCGGGCTGGCACCTTGTTCTCAGCGCCATGGAAAACAATTCTGCCGGCAAAGGCACAGCACGACCTTGGGATTAAAACGCTCTTTAAAAGGTGGGTGCGACCTCATTGGCCGCTCGGCCGATGACCAAACCACACCAAAGAGCTGCCACTCAAACTGCTCGCGCACATCCCGAGCCAGGAGCAGAATGGATTCCAGCAGCGTTCTCGCGCTGCACACACGACTCTCGGCAATCGATTCGCTGGGCGGTAACGTCTCCAGGCACCTTTGAGTGACAGCAGGCAGAGACACGGAACAAAATGGCGCAGTTATCATTAAGAGCAGGGCTCCCACTCTCAGACAGCAGAGCAACGCACCGAAACCAAGGGCAAAAAAAAAACAAACAATTTCAGAAGCACCGACTCGGGTTCCAGCCCCCCTCCACAGGCAGCGCGGGCTAGACCCACGGGTGTCACAGGGGCCGCACTGCGCGCACGCAGACAGGGGCCGGGGTCGGGCGAGCAGATTCCAGAGCGGGGCCCCGATCCCGGTGCCACTGGATCTCTCCTCCTCGCGATCGAGGGCGGAGCACAGAACACCCCAAACTCAACACGGCGGTCTTTCTCAGGCGCACAGCCTTCCC